CAATAAACTGAAAATATCCACTCGTGTGAAACTCCAGGTGCATACCATAATTGATCAACATATCTCTAAAGTTTGTTTACTCTAGCTCAAGCGTTTTAAGAGCTACATGTGACACAACATGAGAACGCACTTACAGGCATACACACACTGGCGGATAAGGACAAATCTGAATGCCCCAATAATAGTGTGCGCATAAAAAGCATACAAAATGCAACCAGACATAAGTCCTGGTTCAAATATCAAAATGCTTACTTGACCCCTGTTTTGATTCAATTTACTACAATTATTATGTTAGCTGGATAATATTTTACAATGCAACATCATAACATCACACATAGTGAATATGTGAAATGTATGTGAATATACTATTGTGACTGGTTATATATCACTGGAACCGATTTTGCTAAGTTGTAATACAAGAGAGAATGATACAATCCACCAGAATAGCAATGTCGTGTGTGTTATTTTCCTTTAAAACTAAACAAAAACGAAATCTGGCTATATTGACAAATCTAAAAAAAAACTGGATTTTGCAAGATCAATAAACACTGTAAGGAACAAGCAAGCAGTCCATCAATACGTTTCACATACAACACAGGTTATTCAAAGAGTTGAATAATTGGAACCAAATTTTTGTATTATATCAGTCAACAAGAGCTACCGCTGGGCGGAGGCAAAACTTTTTACTTTTTTAAAAGCAAACACGTAAAAGGTTTAGACAAATCTTAAAATATTAAAGAAAAAAGAGAGTTTTTCCTTTTTCTTCTTTTATAGATGGGTCTAGTCACACTTGTTGTTTTGTCCTATTATGAATCATTTTAATAACGTTTAATATTCAATTTTACATCTGAATCTGTGCATATGGTTCAAATTTCATAGCTGTACATCAAAGGACAAGAAAGTAGGTCACTTCAACAAATTATCTTGGACAACCGATATCAAAGTTCAATTTTACAACTAAAACTGTGAAGTCAAGGTCAATTAAAGGTCAAGGTCACATCTAAATCATTCAAAATGCTTGTTTGGTAGCACGTTTTGTACGAGTATGAATCAAACCCGTACACAATTAAATAATTTGAACATGACGATCAAGGTCAAAGTCAGTTCAACATTGTCGAAGGTCTTGTCCAAAAGGTTGATTTGTTCAAGTATGAAGATAATCCATTCATTAATTTCCAAGTTTAAGACAGTTATGGCAAATAAGTTAAAATTCAATAATTAAACCTGTAAGGTCAAGGTAATAAATGAGCCAAGGCCAGTTTGAGTTTAATATACAAGAAGGACTTATCCTGAAGAATGTTGTGTCTTAATATGAAGTCAAGAATTCATATACTAGACATTGTCACAAATGCCGAAATCCCCCGACACGTACTTTTCAGAAAACAATTTCATGTTGATACCTTTCATAGTTTTCAAATTATGCTCTGGACAAAGTTCAAATGGTAAAAGTGAACAAAGGACAATAGCTAAAAAACTAAGGTAGTGAGGGTTACGGTTCTTCAGCACTGCACTTCCACTCACTGAGATCTATCTACCTACGAAGTTTCAAGTTGATACCTTTTATAGTTCTCAAGTTATGTCCAGCACAAAATTCAATGTGTAAAATGATCAAATGGCAATAACCCCGACATTTGGGATGAGAGGGTAACGGTTCTTTTTCACTGCACTTCTACTCAGTGAGATTATATTCCTACAAAGTTCTACTCAACATATGTACCGGACAATGTACAAGTGTGAAAATGAATAAAATGCAATAACTACAAAATTAGACAGATTTATGGTTTACTTGCACTGCGCTCCTACTCAATGTGATCTATCTACCTACAAAGTTTCTTATTTACACCTTTATGGTTTTAGAGTTATTTCCCGGACAACGTTTAAAGTGTAAAATAAGCAAAGGACAATATCTCCAAAATAAGGCATGGCAGAATTATGCTTCATGTGCACTGCACTTTTACTTAATGAGACCTATCTTTCTAAAAAGTTTCTTGTTAATACCCCCTGTCGTTTTAGAGTTATGTCCCGGACAAAGTTCAAAGTGTAAAATAAATATAGGGCAACTACTCCAACTTGGTTATTGTTATGGTTCTTTTGCACTGCAATTTGACACAATGTGATATATCTACCTACAAAATTTGAAGTTGATGTCTCTTGTACATTCTGAGTTATTTCCCGGACAGAAAATCTACAACGGACCGCCCGACCGACCGACCGACCGACCGCACGACCGACCACCATCTAACTCCACTATACCCCTAAAACCTTGTTTGTCAGGATATAATAACAAACTTATAACCAATGACAGCAAAAAAAATATGAAAATTTCAATAATTTGACTTTCAAAATTTGACCTGCGTGAATATCAAGCTCTGTCTGATTAACTTGAAGGTCTAATCTAAACGATTTATCTGTTCAAGTTTGAAGCTAATCAATTGAAAAATAACAAAAGTATAGCCACTAATTGTAAAATTCAAGCAAAATATTGACATTAACCCTGAAGGTCAAGGTTATTGATGAAGGTCAATTTTAGTCTTGCCTACTTGAAGGTCTTGTCCCAATGATTTATGGCCAAGTATCAAGACAAAACATAAAATTTAAAAATTTATGATCAAGATAATAGTTTGCGGACGGCTACCACAACCGCAACGGGATTAGGAACGCCGCCTTGACTGTAACAATACCCCTTTTTCTCGAAAAAGAAGTCGAGCTAAAAATGAAACAAGAGCTGTCACTGAAAAGTGACTTATGTCTTCGAAAGGGACCTTTGATATTAAATCTGCAATATATGCCAAAATACTAATTATACAAAGGACCACCTTTAATAAATTTCATTCCTAAAATCTCATTAATTCCATAAAAAGTGTAGGAGATAAAGCCTTAACATATTTGATTTAAACAAGAGTTTACAATTTATAGCTTTGGCAGCCATTTTGTGCAGCGGAGCGGAACGTGCCGGTGATATTCAGAACTATGCATTGTTTTGATCACAAGTTTCATTGAAAACCAACTAGCAGTTTGAAATGTGTAAGCCGGATAAGTTTTCTCTATTTATGGCTCTGACGGCTATTTTGTGCAGCCAAGCGGAATGTGCGGGCGACATGCACAACTAGTGATGGGCCTGATCACTCCTTGAAAGTCTAAACTTCATTGAAATCCCGCCACCAGTTAGACCTGTGAAAGCCAAACAGTATCTATTTAGAGTTCTGGCAGCAGAGAGGACATGCCGGCAATATGCACAACTGGAGTCGGTACTGATCACTTCTGTGAAGTTTCATTGAAAACCCACCAACAGTTTGACCTGTGAAATCCGGACAAGACTTTCTATTTATAGCTCTGGTGCCAATTGGAAAGTTAAGGCGATATGAACAACTAGGGATGGTACTGATTATTTGTGAAGTTTCATTGAAATCCCATCAGCGGTTCAAGCCGGACAAAATTTTTCTATTGGAAGCTCTGACGGCCATATTGTGCAGCCAAGAGGAATGTGTGGACAAGATATGCACAACTATGGATAGTACCGATCACTCCTGTGAAGTTTCATTGAAATCCCTTGAGCAGATTGACCTATGAAAGCTGGACACGATTTTTTTCTATTTATAGCTCTTAGTGTCATTTTGCGCAGCAGAGCGGAATGTGCTAGCGATATGCACAACTATGGATACTATTGATCACTTATGTGAAGGTGCACTGAAATCTCCCAGCGGTTTTGAAGATGAAGCCCGGACAAGATTTTTCCATTTATAGCTCTGGTGGCTATTTTGTGGAACCTGCCTGCGATTTGCAAAACTAGAGATTGTAATGACAACTTCTGTCAAGTTTCAATGAAACCAGCGTTTTTGGAGATGAAGCACGGACAAGCTACTAGCAGCAAAAAAAACAAGGAAAATTTGGACATTTGACCTTGAAAGTTAAGGTCATTAATAGATGAAGGTCAAGGTTAGTCTGGTCTACTGAAAGGTCTTGTCCCAATAGTTGTTGTGGCCAAGTATGAACACAAAAAACGAAGTGATCAACATACAAGTATGCGAACGGCAACGTCAACGGCAACACCGACATGACTATAACAATACCTCAAATTATTTTTCGAGCTAAAAATCATTCAAGCGCAAAACCCTTGTAACTTGTACTAGCACCTGAGCTATAAATTCATCCTGTACAGTTACACTGCAATTGTTCCAGTGGAGTAAAGTGGAGTAGTCCGGGCAAACTTTACATCAAAAATAATTAAACGGCGATAACTCTAAAAAACAATTTCGATGATATGAAAAACTAGGCTTTGTACTGATCATTCCTGTAAAGTTTGGATGAAATTTCACCAGTAGTTTCTGTGTAGCTGTCAACACATTAAACATAATTTTTTATTCAAGGCCCATAACTTGGCCAATAATTATTCAACCTAAAAACAAGTGCAACATGCGCAAGAACTTGAGCTTCAGATCAATCCTGTAAAGTCTCAGTGGTAATAGAGTAGTCCGGACAAACAGTTAACTTTAAACATAAAAATAATTTAAGAGAAATATCTCAAAAATTATTGAACCAGAAAATGCAAATGGTATGTACAATCCCGTAAAGTTTGGTTATAGTTGCACTAGTAGTTTTTGAGGAGACGTCCGGACAAGTTTTGCTTGTTCCCTTTTAAATTGATCAATTTCTTTGTCAACAGTGATGTTTAATTCAGGTTTTGACTATTTCTTCTTACATTCTTTTTCTTTTTTGCCTCGCTCATTTACAGATAATGATACTTATGATCACAACAACAATTATCACCCCTCCTATACTAATGCCTATAATTATACTTCCATCTGTAACTGGAGACTCAACTGCTGATGATTTAGTTGAGGACAGAACTGCATAAATACTAAGGGTGTAATACTTAAGTACCAGTAGTTGCCAAGTTATGCAGTACCATGACCAGTACTAGATTTTAGCTCGTTACTGCGGTACCAGTACTTTATTTTAGGAAGTAATTAAGTTTCAGTACTAGTCCTTTTATATATTCATCATACAAGATACAAGAAATTTTATTCCAAGTCAGTTTACATATTACAAGAAACCTTAGCTAATAAGCTATATACCGACAAAAACAAAGACATAAAACATATTTACTAACATATAACAGATCTGAAAGTAAAAACATTTAAAACTAATAACAACTATAGGCATGAAATAAAAATAGCAAGATTGAGAGATTGAATAGAAATAAGATGACAAATTAAAGCAAAGTATAATGACATGCACAGTAGATATTGTATTAAAAGGACTAAAGGTTTAAAAGTAATCAACGACTGTAGAACAGAATGAGCTGACACTTTAAGTATGATACATGTAGCAATGTGAAATAAATAAAAATAATTATAATAAAAATATGAATTAATAAAGTAGTAAGTTAACACATAGAGTTTATACATAATTTAAGATTTACTAAAAAATTAGATTGACTTCCTTAAAAAAAGTACATATCTTTTTTATGATAGAACTAAAACTGCATGAAAAAAAAGAAAAAGATAAAACACATACAGGGTAACAAACAAAGTTAACTAAAATTAAGTTGCATGCACAGCCTAATGGAAGAAAATAAGGAGTTTCAATTAGAACAAACATACAAGTCAGACAGCAAAGATACAACTAGCATAAAAATACAAGGTTTACAGCAAAAATTACATACAACATTTAATCAAAGCATCAAAGCAAACTAAAAACGGATTCACACAAAAACAAAGAAAACAAACAGCATTTTATATAAATTAATACTAAGCAAATTAACAAACACATAGCAAATTTACAGACACATAGCACATTTACAACTTAGGCCACTCGAGACCTGGATCAGTCTCCCAAACTCATTGTAATTTTTAAACCTTGCGGATGTCATTAGGGCGACTGTTCCATATCTGGTCGCCTTAAACTTAAAGAATCATAGTTAGAATAAATACACACTGGAAATCAAAAATAACATATAATGTACATTAACATATTTTAATGATTTTAACTACATATTTTAAAAATGCAAACAATTAATCAAATGCAACCATTCATATCTAAACACAACAGTCTTTTGTTGCCTTTCACACCTCAACACCTCTGTTCAATTTATGCTAAAGTAGTTAATACCAACTTGTTATTGTGCTAACAATATCACTTGAAATAGGATTATTTGGAATAAATGAAAAAGAAGAGGTTTGTCAAGTGTTTCATTGTTTTTGATTCAACATATTCGCAGATTGATTCCTTAATGATGAATTCCTTTTCATAACTGATTAGTTTAAACAGTTACACATATAAACTTTAAAAAATCATAATTCATTTATGCAGTATGATTTCTTTGAGCTTAATTTTCATGTATTTCAATTTCTTGAGTTCTGGTTTTCTGTAGTTATGAGTAAGATTTGAAAACTTACTTTTTCATAAAAATAAAATAATACATGGGATTCACAGCTTCACTTTTTGAGAAAAACTGATGACATTTTTATTTAGTCTTGAAATGCAGTAGTAGTAGCAGTACCAGTCGTAGTCAAATTTTGTAAAAGTAATTCAGTATCAGTCCCTGCAATTTCACTGCAATATTAACTGCAGTACAAGTACCAGTAATGCAGCTCTGGTTAAGGAAGGGTTAGCTGTAAAAGCTTCTGTATTAGATGTGTCAGTAGTACCTGAAATTACACAGATGCAAGACATTCAGTGCAGTGAAGGGTGTACAAATCGACAGTGAAGTACATGAATTTTTTGTTGAAAGCGGATTGCAACCATATTGCTGCTAAATACAAGTACAAAAGAATAATTACATGCAATTCCTTTCAACTAAAAACGTCCATGAATAAATATATCGAATCAATACCAATGATCAAGTAAGCACAAACTTAAGTCTCATGGTCATCCATAAACACAGTTGGTTAAGAGACACATCAGAATATCCAGTGCTTCATATTGGGATAATCATATCTTTCAATTAAAATTTTATTTACAAGATTGCATTTGTGAAAAAATGCTTTGCCACCGCATTAATACAACACTGAATAGCAGAAACAAAAAGTAGATTTTTTTATTTCTGTACAACTGACCTTTGCCATAATATAGGAATACATAGTGAATTTGGTGGTCAATGTCATATTTCAGCATTTCAAATGAAAAAGGATATGCAGGTGTGTCTAATGGCTATAGTATATTAATTAATTCACAAAAGGGCCATATCACCTGATTATGATGGCCTAATCCCGTTTAATTTGGGCTGTGTGACCTAGATTTTGACCAGAGATGACCGATCTGGAACTTTACCAAGAAATTAACAAAACAAACTTTCTACAACGACCAATTTTCAGGGTATTTGGATCACAACAGAAACCTCTTAAGTGTAAACAAGATTTTTCCATATAAGGGCTATGTGACCTAGTTTCTGAACACAAGTGACCCATATTCAAACTGGACCTTGAAATCTTCATAAAAACCTTTCTGAACAATTACCAGGATATTTGGACAGGAACATAAGCCCCTACAGTGTTAACAAGGACTTCCAATATTTAGGCTGTGAAACCTAGTTTTTGACCCCAGGTAATCCATATTCGAACTTGACCAAGAAATTATAATAACAACCTTATTGTCCGATTTCCATGGTATTTGGTTCAAAATGGTAGCCTCTAGAGTGTTAGCAAGGTTTTCAAAATATCGACTGTGTGATATAGCTTTTAACCCCAGTTGGCAAATATTCAAACTTGACCTAGAAATCATCAAAACAACCTTTCTGACCAATTTCCGGGATATTTAGATCAAAACAGTAGTCTCCAGTGTGTAAACAATGTTTGTCCGTATTTTGGTTGCGTGACCTTGTCTTTGATCCCAGGTGACCCATATTCGAACTTTACCTCAAAATAACATTTCTGATTAATTTCCAGGATATTGGGACTCAAACAAAAGCCAATAAAGGAACTCATCCAAGTAATTACTTAGACAAGCATCCTAACAAATCAATTTCAAATATGTATGTTATAAAGCAGGAAAGGAGGTCAAATGATAGCAATTATATCAAAAGTAGGTCAATTTATATTTCAATTTAATTCAGGATCAAAAATTACATCCTTTGTCAAAAGTTCAAGTCTGTACATCAAAAAATTTAAAGTAGGTCAAACGATATCTATATTATCAACAAGGGCAACATTGTCGCCAAAAATGCCGTCGGAAAAGCTTTGACAGCGATGTGGGCATTAAAGATATACATATTAGAGATATGCTCTAGGCAATATCCAGAAAATATCTGAATATTATATCATCTCTAGTAAATTTGACCTTGCAAATATTAACGTAAATACTTGTGTCGCACTTGTAGTCATGAATGTTTGTTAGTTATCAATAAATGATGACTAATTGGTCCCCGGAAACAAACTGATTATGTACACAATAAGCCTCACAATGGTGAACATTTGTGCCAAGAGATATCACAATCCCCCGATGAATGTAGAAGTTCGGCTTTGAACGAGCATCTTTCAATCACCTCCTAGTGTGCCCTTAACCTTAAGCTAAGAGACCTAGTCCACATGGCACTGCTTCTTATAGTGTTAAGCATGTCTATGGAGTTTCATTAGAATCTAACCATACGCGGAGGAAATATGCTCTGGACAATATTTCTTTATTTTATTATCTTGACATTGACCTTGCATATATGTACCTAAATTACATGTTTCACACCAGTAGTTATGATAATGACCATTTGTGTTTCAATCCCTCAATAGATGATCACTAAATAGTCCAAATACACAATTTCATATTTTTATCTTAACTTTGACCCCTATGTGTGACCTTGACGTTGGCCACCGGGACCTGAATTTTGCGAAGGACACTCCTTACAATGGTGAACATTTGTGGCAGGTTATATTGAAATCCTCTGTTTTGCTCCGGACAAGCGTTTTTCAATGAACTATAGTGACATTGACCATTGACGTAGCGGCCTGGATTTATGCGCGACACAGCTTCTTATAGTGGTAACATTTCTGTGAAGTTTCTTCTTCAATGCATGTAGGAGATATTCTTCGGACAAAGTAGGACTCCGCCCCCCCCCCCCCGCCAGGGGGGACTATAATACAACCCGTTTTTCAAACGGGCGTATAAAATGATAAGTATATATATATAACAACATGAGTTCTTATAATTATTACGCCTAAATATTCAATTGTATGTAAGGCTTACTTTCAGAGCAGTTAAGACCAGTTCTGCCAGCTGCACATATACACTGACCAATTATAGGATCACACGGACTATCAACACACTGACACGTTGATGTACAATTCTTACCATATCGTCCGTGTGGGCCTGGACATGTATGCATGTAGAAGTTTTGCTCCAGACAAGCGTTTTTAAATGACCTCTAAGTGTGACATTGACCCTTGACCTAGAGATCTTTGTCATGCACGAAACACAAATTCTTATAGTGGTTAACATTTGTATGAAGATTCATTAAAATCTCTCAATATGTGTAGGAGATATGCTCTGAACAATATCTCTATATTTTATCATCTTGAGTGACCTAAAAATTATCTTTAGTGACATTGACCTTGCATATATTAACCTAAAATACATGTTTCACACCAGAAGTAATGAAAATGACCATTTGTGTTTCAATCCCTCTATGTTTTGCTCCGGACAAGCGTTTTTCAATGAACTCTAAGTGTGACATTGACCTTTGACGTAGCGGCCTGAATATATGCGCGACACAGCTTCTTATAGTGGTAAACATTTTTGTGAAGTTTCTTTTACATTCCTCAATGCATGTAGGAAATCTTCTCCGGACAAAGTAGGACTCCGCCCCCCCCCCGCCAGGGGGGACTATAATATAACCCGTTATTCAAACGGGCGTATAAAATGATAAGTATATATATATAACAACATGAGTTCTCATGCTAAAATGCAAAAATAATCAATAACATAAAGCACAAAACAGCTACTTTTGAACTCAAATACATGCATAAATAGTGAGTGAAACTCAATTTAACTTAAATGGACCCACTTTGTATTCACCTTGAATACAAAAAAATCCCAGTAGATCCCTTAAATTGAAATAAACATTCACACCAGGGCCCCAACATAGACAAAAATCATTAAACTGAAAAGAAAATATGCATAACTTAACTTGGTACTGACAATTTAAGAAATGGGATGAAATTGCATCTTTTCTTTATAAGCAGAAGTCCGGACAAGTTTTGTGACGAACAGACAGACAGAAAGGCAGACAGATGGACGACGTTAAAGGGATCTATATATGGCATGGCCATTTTGTGGCATGTAACAGCTATTGTGTAGCAGGCGACAGAAAAATCAAAGGAAAAAACGCCTTAAGTTTTTACATCAAGGGCCTAAATTCATTTAACCGAAAAAACCGAGTACTTAAGGGACCGGTCAAAATTGTAAAGTTTAATTTAAATTGCATTAATGATACGAGAGAAGTAATCTGGACAAACTTTTAAAAATCAAAATCATACGGACAGGCGGACAGACAGACTACGGAGAAATAATCGACATAAAAAGGACTGTCAAAAGATAACAAGGGCAACATTTTCGCAATAAACGTCCGTTACAGAAGCTTTTGACAGAGATGTGGGCATTATAGATATGCATATAGGAGATCTGTGAGATTCTGTGGGCAATATCTGGAAAATATCCGGATATATTATCATCTCTAATGATTGTTGTACTAGTATCTAAACTTTGGCATCTACGTCTGACCTTGACCTTAGCTGGAGGAATCTAAATTTTGCGTGCGACATCCCGTCTCTCAATAGTGAACATTTTTGCTAATTTATAATGAAATCCATCTATGCATGTGGAAGTTTTGCTCCAGACAAGCGTTTTTAATGACCTCTAAGTGTGACATTGACCTTTGACCTAGAGATCTTTTTCATGCACGAAACACAAATTCTTATAGTGGTAAACATTTGTATGAAGATTCATTAAAATCTCTCAATACGTGTAGGAGATATGCTCTGGACAATATCTCTATATTTTATCATCTTAAGTGACCTTGACAATCATCTTTAGAGACCTTGACCTTGCATATATTAACCTAAAATACATGTTTCACACCAGTAGTTATGATAATGACCATTTGTGTTTCAATCCCTCAATAGATGATGACTTAATGGTCCCAGAACACGTTTTTATATTTTTATCTGAAATTTTACTTTACCCCTATGTTTGACCTTGACCTTGGCCTTAGGGACCTAACTTTTGCACGCAAAACTCCGCCTTACAATGGTGTACATTTGTGCAAAGTTACATTGATATCCCTCTATGCATGTATGATGTAGGAGTTTTGCTCTGGACAAGCATTTTTTTCTATGACCTCTTGTGCGACCTTGCCCTTTAACCTAGAGAGCTGGTTTATGCGCGCAACTTGACTTCTTTTAGTGGTGAACTTTTCTATGAAATTTCATTACATTTCCTATATAGGTGAACAACATATGCTCCGGACAAAAATTGGATGCCTCCCGCCCTAACACCCACCCGCCCGCCAGTGGGGAAACTATAATACGACCAGTTTATTGAAACAGTTGCATAAAAAAATAAGTCAGTTGAAATTAAAATTCAATTCGGCATCAGAAATTACATTCCTGGTCCAAATTTCAAAAATATCAATAACAGCTCAACTGATATAAAAATTTAATTATGCACATGAAACAGATTGCAAGTTCAAAATGAAAACATTATGACAATTTTTAACAAATTTAATAAAAGAAAAATTGAGAATACAAACTCGTCTTTGTAAGTAAGGTACAACAAACAAATGTTATCTTCCTTTAGGCCTATTTTTTTCTCAGAAGAATTTTCTACACTGACCTATAACTGACCCTGTAGAAAAATTAATACTTTGATGCAATAATGTCCAAAATCAAGAGTTGTAAATGTTTCCCCCAACAAGTAAGTGTGGTGTTATGCATTTTATTCATTTTCATTTGTGATGTTACCTTTACAAGCAAATTTTGATTGAATATAAAACATTTGTGATACTAACAAGAACCTTGAGGTAATATATTTGTGATATAAACTTACCTAGAACATTGAGGTAGACATCAGAAAAGACATATCCGTGTTTGTTACTGGCATTACATTGGATGTTCATGTGATCTTCTAATGTTAGATTTCTCAGGGTTATATTGTTATCATCTTTCTTATAGAATCGGTTGTTGTTGTAGATACGTGGATCTCGTACACCCAGCTCATTCTGTCCTGTTATCATGATGAGATATTCCTTAATAACATACTCATTCTTATCTTAAACACTATAGCCATTTATTGTCTCGTGTTTACATCACTAAGCAACTATTATAATGTTATTTAACATACATGTTGATTTGTTAGAATGTTCAGGTAAGAAAGTTGTATAGCAATCTTTTCCTCTAGCAAAACATTCAACCATTGCAAGAATCCAGAGTACAGCCTTGATCTTTAAATGTCAGAGATTCTATCATAGTTATCTTAATTAAGTGAAGTATGATGCTATGCTATAGAAACAGATAATATGTCATTCAAACAAGAGCTGTCGGTAGGACGGCAAAGCTCGACTATTCTTAGTAAAATCTTTAGATAGTAAAGGAGCCTTGATAATGTAAAATTTTCTGAGTAAGCAAAAGGGCCAACTTTTCTTCAAATCCATGTTACAGTTAAAGGCCTTGGATAGAGTCCTATCATGCTCTCAAAGTAGAGTATAAAATTCCAACTTGTTTCAAAGCCAGATGGCAATATAATATGAAACTATCTGAGGTAGTATGCAAACTAAAATGTAAATTCTAAGTTGAAAAGGGGCATTATTCCGCCAAATGCTTCATGGAGTTACCTCTTCCCGTCTACAGGTTGGGGTCATGATGGTGAACAAGTGCGCAAAGTTTCAAAGCCATATGGCAATGGACTTTGAAAATATTTGAGGTCTTACAAAAACTTTAACAAAATTTGAAGTCGAAAAGGGGAAACATTATGTCACAATGCTAGATACAGTTACCTACTCCTGTCTACAGGTTTGGGTCATGATGATAAACAAGTGTGCAAAGTTTCAAAGCCATATGTCAATGGACTTTGAAAATGTTTGAGGAGTTACAAAAACTTAAAAAAAACAACTTCTTGCAATTTATATTAATTACTTTTAAAACATTCTGGAAACAAGTGATCCCTCGGAAGCATTAATCACAACAAAATTACAAGAGAATTGCAGACTCGATTTGATTGAGTCTGTACATGGGGGATAATGAATACGTGCAACATCCTCACGCCTCACTCCTTTTAAGTCTGCTTCTTGGTAACAACCAGTACTAGTGTCACGAGAAATGATGATCGTGGCCCGAGTAGAGCTTGAACCCATGAACCCTAGGTTGAGGGGCAGATACTTTAATCACCAGTCCACTACTCCAATAAATTAAAATAGATTACTTGCATCAATGAATTAAAATTGAATAAGTTATCATATTGAACATACTATCTTCAAGTGGTACACCATTGATGTACCAGGCATATTCAGGTTTAGGGTCACCATCAGCTTTACATATAAATGTTGCCGTCTCATTAATACTGGCTTCAACATCTTGAGGTTCTTCCACCCAGAATGGTGCAGCTGAAATAATATTACGAATATTTTCTCTTTCGTTCATTTTGTCCTCTATTTAATAACTTTCCATTATGCAATCATTGTAAAAAGATTGTGTTTTCAAAATAGCATTAGCTTTAATCGATGAGTGAGTATGGCGACAGAAGCTGTCTCCACTCAACAAGAAAGTTAACTGTTACTTTGTAAAAAAGCGATAGGCAAAGTTATCGTAAACAAAAAAAATTATCCTCTGATAAAATACTTTACTGAAATATGGATTACCATAAATTAAAAGCATCAGTAAACTGTCTAGAGTAGAACCAAAACTTAAAGTAGCCTCCTTATATGAAATAATCAAATTCAAACCAACAACAGTCATAGTAATTTGAATTCAACTACCTCATTTCCTTTTACATAGACCTACATTGTTAAATTAAATCCATCCATACAGAAGTGATATTTTTTATCTTAGTAAATTTTATTAAGACAAAGAAAAACTTACATTCAATTCTGGTATCATAGACTTTAGTTACACTTGACTCACTGTTTTTACCCATGCACTCATACTGGCCAACATCTGACTCCCGTACGTCAGTGATTTGTAACTCTTGTCCAAAACTCTTAAACTTTGCTCTATCTGGAAGTGTTCCCTCAAGTTTCTTCCAATATACGTCCGGTGTGGGACTATAAATGATTGAAAATTATCATTATCGTTTCCTGTAATCCTTAAATGTCATTACCACGTCTCTATGATAATATAATTATGATAAAACTTAAAAAATATCTTAATTCAGTTTATAAATATGCCTGTGGAACAAGTTTATCTTATACAGTTTATTGTATGGGTCAAATAAATCTTTACATGCAAATTATAGTGCATGTGTTGCATAAGTTTGAAACATCAAAAACGTTCATCTACAAAAAAGAAAAAAAAACAAACAACAAAAAACAAACACAATCACAGTTTCACACACAACATCTTTTCACTATTAATAGGATTAGAGGTAGTTTTGCAGGCTGCCACTAACATTTCATATAAATTCACGAAAAAAGAAAAGCTGTCCATGACAGGGCACTCAGAAAGTAAGAAAAAAGGGCATAACTTGATAAATAGGTAAATCAGAGTTAAAGGAACTCTTCCCATTATGTTAGATAACCACAAACAACTAGTGTGTGAAGTTTCAACCCATTCCCAACTACTAACTTGAACACAAAACTCAACCAGCGTGACAACAACAGTGACACAGACATTGATGCCCTAAGGTGAGTAGAATAGTTCTTTCTCACTAACCAGATAGAAAAATCCTTAAATGTTACTAAAAATAGCGGTGTTGGAAAATCTTATCTCACATGGGCTTATCTCACACTCAACGTGCAGCAGTTCTAAATAATACGCGATTCACTCCTATTTTAACAAAAAATAAACGTCAAAAGGTCAAAATGTATTAAAAATTTGTAAGCTAATCTATTAAATTGTCTACGGAATCAAAATAGATTGATATTAACTTTCACACTGCAATGAGTCCTACTCTACCTAGATCCGCCCTTTCCAATAACGATCTGTTACTAAAAATAGCACACTTTAAAATATCGAAACGTTCTTCGTAAAATCGGATATTATGACACTTTGCCTGAAAAACATTCATGTTTTTTGTTATGATAACGATGCTTTTTGATGACGAATCTCATTTTGATATATTTTAATTGAATATTCGGCCAAAATAACCGAAAGAGTAGAAAAATCTTTGCAAACGGTAAACGCTTTTTTGTCAACCATTGAAGTATGGACTGAATTCCTTATAAACACTTATATTATGGCACTTTCCGTTTTTAATATCGATGTGTTTCATCATGATAACCTTGCTTTTTCATGAGGGGTCTCATATGAATTTATTTTCATTAAATTTTTCACACATAAACTTGGTCAGAAGATTTTTTGCTTTTTAATCATAGAAAGTCAGGCGCCTAAGCCCCGCCCCCTTTTCAAAACTAGGTACGTTGTAATGGGCGTAGCAAGTAGATTCACTGATATTTGTGTGTTCAGGTGAGTGAGAAAAATAATCAACCATTGGGTTAGATAGAGGATAGGGAAATCCCAACCCTCGGGCAATCGGTTCCATCGGGAACTCGCCAAGGCTCGTTCCCGATGGAACCGATCACCCTCGGGTTGGGATTTCCCTATCCTCTATCTAACCCAATGATAGATTCTATTAACCTTCTTTTCAATAGTCGAGCTAACAGGCTGCTTCAGGAGAAGTTATCATATTTGATCATTGTGTTATAGAGAAAAAAATATTTGATCATTGTGTTATAGAGAAGAAAATATCTTTAGTAATAGAAGATTTGATTTCAATCATTTATGTAGAATACTAATATAAATCACCGTGAATTGGATGTATTACATACGTCCCAGCAAAAATACATTTGCGCCTTAGAGTCTGACCTTTAACAAAGAACTCGTCACTAGGTGATGTCCACAACTCTTTGACAGGCTGTTTCTGTTCAGTAGCTGAAATTTCAACAATTGTATATGAATAGTGAAACTTAACCTTTATTGTACCAGAACTTAATGTGATAAAAATCTGGAAACAAAGTTAAGCCTATGCCGCATTTTGACAATTAACTCCCTTAACCTTTAATCTGCTTGTCACAAATTCAAAGCTGGACAAATATTAATTACACAAATTCAGCAGGTAAAGACCTAAAATGTTACACATCAGTAAATAAAGTTTTATAAAATATTCACCACTTTTTATGAATAATCATATACTCACAATCTTTGTGGGTATATGATAAATTATTATCAGTCATTTATTCATATTTTAATGTCTTGTACAAAGTATGTAACATATGAAACCTGATATACTCAAACATTCGAATAATCTGTTTATAGAAAATATCTTTATATAATAACATACATCCCAATACTATGACAACGTGTTCTGGACCAGTTACATTATCCCTCATGAAGTAGTTAATAGCCATACAGGAGTAAGCTCTTCCCCCAACCATATCAGATATCTTCACATTTGTAAAATGGAGTTTGCCTGAAAAACAAAACAATTTTGCATTTATCATAATAGCTCTGTAAGTGCTAGCTGCAACAAAACATGCTTTTGTCACTAGTATTGGTCAAGGCCAGTTAAATCAGTTATGTTCGCAATTATCTCTTTTGTTAAAATTTGAAAAGAGATTAGGATTATTGATAAAAAGTTAATGGGTTTTCATTTCAGAGCGGTACATTGGTAAAACGATTTGTATTTATAAATAATGATGTATAACGTTTGTAATTATCTAGATAATATAGGGTTAACGCACGTTTTTCCGTGTTATAACGTCTGCAGAGTCCCGAGGAACGGTTGGTGCCCGAGCCCGGTAGGGCGAGGGCTCCAACAGTTCCGAGGGACTCTGCAGACTTTATAACACGAAATAAACGTGCGTTGACGCTATTATAGCATAAAATTTTCAAACAGATTCGTGATGTATAGTTTATACAAAACACAATTACATTAAATTCTTGTCCTTGGACGGTATTTATCCAATTCTATGTTTTACGTATGCGTTTCATTTTTCCGGGGCCAACAACTTGGAAAATTCTCGGAACCGAACGAAATTTTGAATTTTAATTGATTTAACAAAGCTTGGCCTTTGGAGATTTATTATCTCAAGAAAAAAAAACGTTACATTACTCTACCAAGACAAAACATGACCCTCAGACATTCTTAGAATGATTTCAGATTTACGGTAGAAAAAAAAACAGTGACATCAGAATCGGTTTTTTTTTTCAAGCAAACAAGTTTATAAAAAAAATCAGGCACTAAGCATTATTCTCTCATGGAAATATAAACAGCATTTATCAACATTAACACAAATAAAAAAAAATCTCATATTAATTTTGTGTTATCTAGTTTTGTAAGTTAATCGGAGTGTTAAACTGAATGACAGGTAGATTCTACTGTATTTGTTTACATTGACAACTGTCCGTTTCTTAGAAAGGGCGACAACCAAGATTAGCACCGATGTCTATACGCCGTTTTTCCGGCATAGTTACTTGAATATGCGACTGAGGCCCTCGAATCAATAAATTTCAATATAACAGGTGCGCATGACTCTTCGGCAAACAGGCCAAATCGTCATTTTTTGTTTGTTTGTTACTGGGCCCTGTATGTATTGCGCATAGGTGAAACCGGGCTATAACAAGAGCGCGTGACTATGTTAACACATGGTTTTGGTCCCGTTATAACATGGGCAAAATAGGGGAAAATAGCCGATTTTATGCTATAATGATGTATAACGTTTGTAATTATCTAGATAATATAGGATTAACGCACGTTTTTCCGTGTTATAACGTCTGCAGAGTCCCGAGGAACGGTTGGTGCCCGAGCCCGGTAGGGCGAGGGCTCCAACAGTTCCGAGGGACTCTGCAGACGTTATAACACGAAATAAACGTGCGTTGACGCTATTATAGCATAAAATTTTAAAACAGATTCATGATGTATATTATATATAAAACACAAACATTAAATCCTTGTGCTTGAACGGTATTTATCCAACTCTACATGTTTTACGTATGCGTTTTATTTTATCCGGGGCCAACAACTTGAGAACCGAACGAAATTTCGAATTTTAATTGATTTAACAAAGTTTAACTTTGGAGATATATAAACTTAAGAAAGACATAACATTACTCTACCAAAGACAAAACAGGCGCCTCAGACATTCCTAGAATAATTACAGATTGGCGGTAGGAAAAAGATCAGTGACATCAAATTCAATTTCAGAATCGTTTTTTTTAAGCACGAGTTTACAAAAAATCAGGCATAAAACATTATTCTCTCAAAGAAACATACAGAACATTTATCAATATAAACGTCAATAAAACAACGTTTTCTTATATTCATTTTGTGCTTTCCATTTTTGTAAGTTAATCGGGGGATTAAACTGAATGACAGATTCTATTTGTTTACATTGACAACTGTCCGTTTCTAAGAAAGGGCGACAATCAAGATAAGCGGCGATGTCTATACGCCGTATTGCCGGCATAATTGCTTGAAGGCTGTTCGCCGTTTTGCGACTGAGGCCCTCGAATTTATACTTCCAATATAACAAGAGCGCATGACTCTGGCAAACAGGGCAAATCGTCATTTTTTGTTTGTTTTCTGGGCCCTGTATGTATTGCGCATAGGTAAAACCGGGCTATAACAAGAGCGCGTGACTATGTTAACGCATGGTTTTGGCCCTGTTATAACATGGGCAAAAGAGGGAAAAATAGCCGATTTTATGCTATAATGATGTATAACGTTTGTAATTATCTACATATTGCTAGAAATGATTGATGTATTGATTCTACAGCATTTTTGTAGTTAAGAATGTACTTGTAACTTTCATCTAAAATAAACTTTGATTGTATATATTGATAGTATTTTGTCAATGTGTTCATTCTAAAAAGTATTCTGAAAATGGTATTCTAAAACGTATTCTAAAAAGAATTCTAAGAAGTATTCTAAAACTTGATATAAAATTGCATTTAAAAGCGTGTTAAAAGTTGATTTTTGTAAAGATTAAACTTGTTAAAGGTGAAAGAGGATTAGAATAAAAGTGAAGCAAGACAACTGGATTGTTGTGCTTTGTTTAAGACATTGATAAAAAAATATCGTGATAAGGATCATAGTCCAGTGTGATGATTCAGAACCAGGATTTACAAAATACATAATTATTGCTGTCTCACAGCAGAAACTAAAGAAAACTTATAAAAGATCATCACAAGCAGGCTGATTCCTAGGTTAAGTTATGTATTTTTGGCTCTCAACATATTGACATTGAACATCCAAAAAATAATAAAGCAACACAAACATATGTACATGAGTTTTAACCAGGAAATTTCTTTTTTATAATTTAAAATTTCCATTCATTTAATTACATCCAAGGACCACTTCATTACACCAACAAATCATTCAACTGCACCCACACCCCTTCACTAAACTCAACATCATTCAATTCTTCTTCTCTTATCCGAAATTACTTAACTTTACAATACTCTTGTGTAATACACTTCATTAGACCCCACATCACTTTGTTAAACTTCACTTTACATCCACTTTACATTACATCTATCCACTATACCCTCACCTTACATTTATACATTACATCACTCCGCTAGAATCTACTCACTCCAGCCACTCACAAACATTCATTTGTAAATTATTTGTTAATAACAAAATGGAGGAGATATAAATGTAATTTATGAAGGAAATCTATTGTTTTTATGACATTAAAGAAATGTATGAATCAAATCTCCACGCAAATTTCTTTTAAAAAATACGAATGCTGCAAATTATCAACATCTTATGAAACAAATGAAAGACTTGTAAAATTCAAATTGTATCATAATTTTCGACCAATTGTTTTTTAAAAAAACAACAAAAAATAAACTACAAAAACATCATTTTTAGATTTTTTAAGGAATTGTTTTAAAGTTTATATTTCATTAATAAAAAAGTTATTATAGACGTTGAAATATGATCTTTTTTTCAAAACGGCTTATATTTAGCTTTAGGATATATATGTTAAGTACACGTGCTGGGATTGAGCTCCACGCCCGAGCGTCTTTGACTTTACAGTACTTATCCGATTTAAAACATCAACTGGTCTGATTAAATCCGGGCTCTAAATTGACAAAAATCCAGCGGCTCCTTGTTCATCTGATCGACGAGATAATATTTTTAAACTTATATACCTGACATAATAATGCACAATACAACCAGAAATTTGACCTCAGGATGTAATTTCGTCAAGGGGTTATGCATATTACTGATGGGGTTCGGCATTTTACTAGTTTTAAGGGAGGGGGTAATGAGTGAAATATTTGCTTCAATTTCACAGAAAATGTAATGTAATGGAATATTTTTGTCATGATAGACAAATGTCGTGCGGTAGGGTATGATGGTCATCACCCACCCCACCTCTGTACGCGCATGAACTAAACGCCCCAATTTGTTGTTATATCATGTCTTTCGATCTTCTCTCCTCTATATACTGTACATAATTATGTTTTAGCTATTTGTGAAGCATAGCAAACTATAATTAAAACAAAAACATGCTAACACATTCATTTTTTTTAAACCAATAAACTATTCTAAACAACCCAGATCCGGATGCGATTTAAAGCAGTAAATTCTTATTAGATTTAGTGAATATGATAGTCATTATGTGTCTTTCTTATTAACTGAGTCAGAATATATACTCGAAACAGGTGGCTATATCAATTTTCTTCCTTACTATTTCATGCACATACATGTATATACAAGTATGATACAAAAATTGTATATCACACATTTACCGCACAAGGAAGAACAAATCAAATGTACAGGTTACAGGTGTTATATTTAGAACATTCGTATTTACTATTTTATATAAAAAGCATTTACACGTAGTATAACATTTTATGGAATAAGAGATCTTTGTGAAACTGGTATTTATAATGAGTGATGAAGATGGTAAACAAAGTATTCGACCGAGAAAACAGAGACATGCTTTCTACAAAGTCTCAACTGGATTATCGGTAAGCTTGTTTGTTAAATTTGAAATTGTTTGAATAAACATTTATACAAATTCTAATAAAAATGATTTTGTGAACATAGGTTCCGTTATAAATCACACAGTTTCATTATTTTCGTTTGGTTACCTTTCAGTTATGTTTTACACTTTGACTTCGACAACATTTAACTTATAAGATATACATACAGATATGGTGCATATATTGCAATTTTATTAAATCATATTAATGTTTTTGTGACTGAGTCAGATGCTTGATGTCTAGTAAGATAATTAAATGTTATCAATTTAGCTTGACAGTATGATAGGCATAAGTATGTAAATATCACTCTCTCATTAACTCAAACTCTTTTTACTCGAAATTCCGCGTAATTCGACGAATTTTTAGTCCGTAAAAATTTCTTCTTTATCATAAATACAATTTAACTCCCTTTACGTAAAATTCTGAAACATATTTTACTATGTTTGTTATTTTATCACGGTTTATATTCACTAATGAAAGAAGTGTCTAGTCTTTTTGTTGTACAACCTAAAAGATGTTCCCCCTGAAAATGTATCCAATACACTGTGGTATTTTAAAGTAAGAAATGGGTCAAATGTTAACAATTGTTTACGTTTTGAAAACAGTTTATATAGTGTTTAATCTTTCCATTTGATGTTTAGGTTGATAAAGTAATGGAGGAATTTGGTATTTCTGAACCTATAAGAGAAACACTTGGTAAACTGCTAAGACAAATTGCATCAAATAACGTAATATGTAAGACATACGCTGATGTCTCAACTCAGACATCATTCGATGATATGCCAGGAGAAATTGACACAGTAGAACCGTCAGTTGAACGTGGCATGGATGACACAAAAGTTAAAGTACCGTACGAAGATTGTCATGTTATAGATGAAAAAAACATTGACAAGGAAAGTCCTTATGATAACGTCGCATTTAAAACTCCAATGAACACAGACTATGGTAACTATTCACTACAGATCCGGGAGAGGCTTGTTACAGAAGAAACTAGACGACAATCTGCAGTTGAAGTTAATACAGGTTGATATCTACTTAGAAAATAATCTGTTCCAACAAATGTGTTTAAATTTCTATCTCAATATTTTTACAGTTTTGCCTTATCAAAGTAAAAGATTTAAGCTGTTTAAACATGAAATAATAATATGTAAAGTTGTTGGCGTGAAATAAATATATAATTATATATTCAAATAAAAACCAGCCGGTTATTATTTAGTATGCTAACTAATATTTAGGGTGCTTTAGTGACACAGCACAAATAGGTATAGAGCTAGGACGCTAGAATGGTTTGTCAGTGGAACAACGATTGTGTTCCCACTGCCAAACTATGGTAGAAAATGAAAAGCATGTATATGAATTCATTTGTAACGACTTGATTTGAGAAGACAAATGCTAAATATATTTTGATACCCTCTCAGACATTGATAAAGTATGATATATTCTCTCTAACGCAGAAATTGTGTTTTAACTGTCAAAACTACTACATCAAATAGTATAAACGTTGGTTAAATTTAACCACTGGGTTAATTAAAACAAAGTTTATACAGTTGGTGCTAAATAGAAAAAAAAAATCTATTTTATACAACTGACATTTATTTCAAATAACTTTGTGTTTTTATATATGTACTATTAAGACTTTTTAGATAAAGGAATTGCTAATCTTCTAAACCTGATATGATTAAATGTGACTATTATATTATTTCCTTTATTGAATATTTATGGTACCTTGTTACCCAAATATTTTAATTTACTTCAGAAGATTACTTTTAACACAGATTCGCAACTCGGGTTCAAATTAGCAAGAGTATTCAGCTTCTTAGTATCTTATAAATATGCGCTTTCATAGTGTATTTTATATGCATTATAATTGTATACATAGATAAGAATCTAATTAACAAATATAATATAATAAAAATTCTGCACTGTATCTTAGAGATGCGCAAACTTGGTTAATCGACATCATTTTAATTTCAGGAAAATATGATGAACGCGAGTGTCTAGCAAATGCCATACAGTTTCACATTGAAGATCTGATTGACGGAGTTATTTTCCGAGACAGCGAACTGCCTGACTGTCTTTTAGCTGATGGTTGTCTCACAGAAGACGAATGTTCATCGGTTAGAAGAATTCGAGATAGAAAAGATCAGATCAGAATTCTTGTAAGCTTAATTAATGGGAGAGATGTGTATGTGCTAAGAAGATTTCTTAAACTAATAAAGGGACACAATCAACATGTTGCTGTTAAAATACAAGAGAAGTTTGAAGATAATAAGCGCAAAGGTTTAGGACAAAAACTATGTTTCCTGTGCCAGCTCAAAAATAACTTCAATGTCAAACATTTAGCAGATTCTCTGTGGGCAGTACAAGTAATTGATAAAGGCGTTTATAATACAATTATCTTTTCTGATTTACCGACAGGAGCACAAGAAACATTATGGTGTAAAGTATTTCACTCTCTGAACTACTTTGACCGTCAGCAAGCTGAGTTAGCCCATCAAAAGATTATAAAAGCATTGACGAGGCAAAACCTGTTTACATATCTAGCTGATGGAATAAACGATATGCTAGTTAAGAATCATGGAAGGTTAAGTTGTTCTTGTGAACAAAAATCATTATTACGGCGGAGACATAATGTTTTAGAAGAATCAACATCTGACGAATCAATTCTTCCTCGGTCAAGTTCGGACGGAACAGCAAATGATATAGCAAGTACTAATAGTACTGATGATAGAACTATTCCTAAAACTGCATATAGGAAACCGGATAATATGACAGAAGAACGTCCGGTATATATATATATTTTAAGATAGTCAAGAAAGTTTATTGCTATAACTGATACACCCATTTATTTAAATAATATCTGAAGTCTGGTTAACATGAAGGCAATAGAAACTTTAAATTTTCGTTTTGGTCAAATTTAATTAATAAAAGTAAAAACTAAAACGTATAATAATAAAGCATACAAATCTATTATGAACCAAATGCTAACGTTGTTGAGTGACCGCCAACAACTAGAATTTACGATGTGAATAGCCGTGAAATCAAAAGATTTTTATTATTATTCTATACGTGTTTGTTTGTGTAAAATCGTATTACAGTATTTTTATTTCAGTCCTATTATTGTAACAAAAGGCGTATTTAGACAAATACCGTCTTTTCACATGAGTAATCCTTTATGTACACTTGACAATAATTTTAATTTTTATTTTATTTCAGCTATTTCCTACAAGCCTTCTTCAAAGTGCCAACAAACAACATGATGTTGGGGACAGTATACCTGAATCTGTTACAGGTGAAAGTTTATTGGAATTTAACTCACAAACATTTCCTAAAACAAGAAATTTGACTGATTTTTTACCTCAAAGCAAGAAACCACCAATACTGTAGATGATTATATGACAACTGCACATAAATAATGTTGCTGAAAAGGGTGTGGCTCGTACTTTATATAGTGTAACAGTCTTTTTGCATTTTTATGTAAAAACTTTCAATATACGATTACAAAAGACGGCTATGAGAGCGTAAATTGCGTGACATCCGGGTGTAAATTTTATAACGTAATTGGTTTGAACAAAACAAGACAGAGTGCTAAACAAGATAACCAAAATACCTTTTAACAAACATTTTAAAGATCGTCAAAAAGAACTGTAAACCGCAAAATATTCATTATTTTAGAGATACTGAAAACGAGTTTGAATTAAATAGATTTGTCAATATAAGCTGATGAGGGAAAGTAAATGGATTTATACTACGTCGGCTATCCTAAATTGTGTTGTTTTAATATGTCATGTTGTAATGTTTTAAATCAAAGAAAAACATCAATTAGATTATTCAAACAAAAAGCATAATACGCACTTTCAACCTATCTACAAATAGCTGAAAACACACCTTCATCATATCTATAAATAGCTTAGATGACCTTTCAACCCATCTACAAATAGCTTAAATGACCTATCAATCTATCACAAATCGCTTGAACGACCCTTTGTCACATCTACAAATAGTCATGATGGAGAAGGGCTTAGTGCCGCGGCTGTCATTTATACCTGAAAAAATAAAGAGTTATCAGTAAGGAAAATGGGAAGGGCGGGTGGGATGTTTTTGTTTGTTCAGGGCAGTTTCAGAGCCTCAGGGCCTGGATAAAAAAGGAATTGCAGAAGCATGCTGAGAACATTAGTGTAAGGCACGCCAGTCCAAGCTTTAACCAATCTTACATACGAACTATGTAGCACTTAGTAAACGTTAACGTTTAAGCTAATCATGTATAGTGTAATTAAATCATGTCTAAAACTTTATTCATACATTCTTTAAAGAGGTTATGTTTAAGAAAACAAAATTGAATATTTTCTAAATTTATTAAGTTGAATGTGTGAAAACGTAAAATATCCCCTTCTAGTTCTGTAATATAATATTGCAGAATATTACGTAGGTACTCATAAAAATCCTCCCACTAAAATGTTTATGTAGTAATTTAAGTTATATAGATCACTACCATACATTATAAACGTGCGATATATGATTTAAGATATATTTTAAGTTATAATTTCTATATTATTTGGTAAGTGTACCTGTCTGAGTCAAGCATGAATTACGACGTTATTTTGAAATAGCGACCAGGAAGAACGCTGTGCGTATAAAATGTCGTTTCTTTCAAATGATCACTGAGATATTCTAAAGTTATTAATCTTTTCTTTACCGATATATTTAGGTAGGCGTTGGGTTGTAAACTTTATGATACATTTTCATCAAACAAAACTGTGTCTGGTATTTTAAAGAAATATGTAAAGGATATGCACGCAAATAATATTTCTTATTCTGTAATGTTTTGAAAGTCGGATGATACTAATACAAATTAAGAAGTGTTCAATAAATGTGTAAATTATATCAACATAAAAAAGAATATGAAGTTTAAGAGGCTTCGATAAATGTGTAAATCTTTTATAATTTGTCAACACGTGTATACATTGTAATTGGTAAAAAAATGAATAAAAAGAATATTCGACCAAAGTCGGAAGGTTTGATCAAGCACATTTCACAACCGTTGAATGTTAAACATGACCTTCATATAAGTAAAGAATCAGTTGAGAAAACTTCTGTACGTATAGGACATCAAGCAGCTTTACCACCAGCCCCGTGCCCTGGTAACAAGGATGATGTAGACCAAATTACGGTAAGTTCGACTATCTTCTTTACATTAAAATAACTTGTATGCTTTCATAATGTATTTTTCCAAAACAAAAAAAGATCTAAATCCCATAATCTATAATTATTGATTGCGCATGTTGTTTATATTTAATACAATACAATGGTCAAATGAAATCTGCAAATAACGTATTATTCGTTTATGAGCTGCTTTATTTTACTTATTCGTATATGATAACAAACACACTTAAATCATCATTTGGTATTTGCAGTGTATAAATTGAAAAAAAGAGAACATAATTGACTTCAGATAAATTAATTTCAGTAACTTTTAACATAAAAGTAATTAAGATATCTTTCAACTCGTTCAATAAATTCAGTATTAAAATTTACACTCATTTAATATCCTTTATTTCTTTTACAGTTTCAGGAGCATGTCATATCAAGAGTGCTCAGAGAGGAGATAATCCCGGCTCTACGTTTTGAGATTGGTGATATTGTAGAAGAAAAGATTAAAAAGATTCACAACGAACACGTTACGAATACCGAACATAATCACTGTAAATCATGCACGTGCGATGAACTGACACAACCGCAGATTCCTGCCCAGAAGTTAGAGGATAGTCCGAAACCATGTGCATCCATATTTCTTGAACAAAGCGACATTCTCAACGATGCACGTAAAGAAAATATATCAACAGTAGCAGGTTTTGAGTTAACAGAAGAAAAAAGGGAACAATTCAAGAAGAAATGTTTTAGTAACCCCATATATCATCACAAAGGTCAAATATTACTGATACACACAGAACATGGGACGAAGCTTGTGAAATATGGTTCAACAGAACCTACTTTGAAAGATGATCCACTGAACTGCCAAGGTACGTTATACATATTCATAATATATTATATTATATAATATTGAGTTAGTACTAAATCCATGTTTTAATAACAGTTTGTGATTCTAGATACGAATTTGAATATAAAAAAAAAGCGGTTAACTTTTTTAAAAAATTAATGTAGAATACCGGGTATGTACTTTTACAAAAAGACGAACGAACGAACGAGAGCAAACGAACAAACAAACTCATGATAAAATGTACGACCGTAGAAGAAAATTTTATATCCTAAAACTCACAGTTTAAAGTTCTATAGAAGCATAGAAAGTTGTAGTTGTGCAAATATGTTTTAATATTTTCAGGTAAATCCTTAACTGAGTCAGATGAAAGAGAATGTCTAGCAAATGCTTTACAGTGTCACATTCACGAGCTTGTAGATAGTATTGTGTTTAAGGACAGTGAGCTACCTGGCGCCCTTCTTGAAGATAATTGTCTTACTGAAGACGAATGTGCAAATGTAGGAAAAATATTTGACCGTAAGGATCAGGTTCGTGTCCTTTTATGTCTTATAAAAGGCAGAGATTTTCATGTTCTCAAGAAATTCGTGAATCGTGTTAGGTCTCACAATGAGCAAGTTGCTAAAAGTATTGAAATAAAGTTTGAACAGAATAAGAAAGAAGGAATAAGATGTACAAAATGTGCTCTCTGTCAACTCACATCGCACGTAAATCTGAAGTATATAGTTGATGACTTATGGAAATCTGGCCTGATAAATGACGGATTGTTCAGCATGATCGTACAGACGGACAAACCTGCTGGTGCTCAGACTAATCTTTGGAATGAAATGATCGATTCTTTCAACGCATTCAGCGTACAAAGTCCAGCTAATGTATGCCATACTCTGATAAACGCACTGACAAAGAAACAACATTATAACCTGCTAGCAAAAGGTGTTGAGTGGATGATTTGTACACATAAAAAACTAGTGTGTGGTTGTAAACTACAATACAAATATATTCCAGAGAGATTATTTAGTTCAATAATGTCCTCTATTTCTCCTCAGTCTTCAGTATCAGATACCGGTATTGTTATCGGTCTAAACGACGACGCAAGTCCCTCCATCTATTCGACGGGGTCTGACAACCCTCAAAACGAAACTACAAAGGATGAACAGGTTTGCTAATATTAATTTGGAAAAATAAATAAATAATTGTTTCTGTTTGCATTTTTTTACTACTCGTATTATTATAATCAACTTATAATTTTAGCATTTTGTAGAAGATTTATGAACTGAAAATGTGTTTAGCCTAGTTTTATCAGTTTGTCTCCATTAATTTTTGTACTTTTTTTCCTCATATCACTATTTTGTCTTTCAATCACGAGACATTGTTGTTTTGTTGTTTTTTAATGTGAAACGAAACACAGTGCTTGATCCCTCTGGTAGTGTACTTAACATGCATGTACATATTTTATTTTACAATCAGGCACCTTTGGATTGTTACCAAGGAGACAAAATGCTGGAGGAAAATATTGTTCATGTCAGTACATGTACAACTAACAATTCTGGACAAGAAGTTTCTTCAGTTGCTGACATAACTGGCTCCGGTGACAAAGTGCAATCGCCAACAGACATCTTTATGTGTACGAGAGGCCATTCCGTGTTAACACAGTCATTTTCTGGACCAATAGCTACAACTAGTGAAACAACGTCCGCTCATTGTCAACCGAGGAGAACATCTGTAACAAGACAACACGCTGTTTTGACCGACGACTGGGAAATATCACACGTTTGAAATAATGTCCTGTATGATATAAACTTTCATTGATTGTTATGATTTGTTAAATGGCTGTCAAATTTTTGATATGAATATATCTCATAGTTTTTGCTATCTATATATACATAAAAAAATTCTACATGATTTACATGATTTATATATATATGTTCAAATATAACTGACATTTAATTTTACATTCAATTATACATTTTACTCAACTGAACAGATATTCCGTAAATGAGAACAGTAGTATAACAAACAAAATATCTGCGATTTTTTTTTCCAAAATCAAAACATTGTTATAAGCAAAGATATAAATCTAATAGTAGAATGTTTTGAACGTGAATTCTATAAAGCATTGCTTGACAGCAGCTGCAACAACAACAAACTTTACAAAATGATTAATATTCTACTGAACCAATGAAAGATTAATTAATGAATTTCTGTCTACATTTAGTTTTACTGTTTAGATATATAGAAGATATTCAAGTTTTTTCTATTAATACAGTATTTATTTCCATCGAGTGGTTTGAAAATAAATATTTCACTTGTGGCAGTAGCCACAAGTGAAATATGATAATTTTCATATTACAAGATGAAAATAAACCCTGTATTTATAGAGAGGAACTTGAATTTTCTGTTTATTATATACTTTTTCTCTTTTTCTCTTTTTTGACCTTACAATTCTTATGTATATTAAGACTTTTGTTTAATTTTGTGTATTGGCTTAATTAAGAAGAAAGTAGTCCGGCAAGATACCAGTGAAAATACGGAAAATATGTTTCACTGCAGTGAAAAATATTTTTTTACAGTGAAAATATGAAAAAATGAAAATACGCATTTTATTTCATCAATATTTCATTTATAAGTATATAATAAATGTGTCTATTTTCAAGTGTTTTAAATCTTGCCATATATACATGAATTTACCATCATTAATAAAACTAGATTGTAAAATCAGCCTTTTAATGAATTTTAGTGATAGTTGACGGACATGACACCTGGACCTGGGTATTTCTCTGCACCACGGACTTTCTGCACGTAAGATAGTGCTAGGAAAACTTTATATTCAAACAAACTTGTCGATATAGATCACTAGCATATATACAGAAACATAGAAAAAGAAGTTGATCGATAATCTTATATCTACAGTGATTGGTAAATTCGTAAAAAGTACGGACAGATCTTAGTAATTCGCTTCTAATCGGTAGAACTTGGTGAGTCCGTGCTCACCGACTGCGCTTGGTAATTTATTACAGTTACAGAGAGGGTTTAGGCCTTATCATAATAAATCTTAAAGAGGTGCATTGTGTATATCCAAATGTTACATGCTGGTTTACCTATACATCACCTTTTTATTTCAAGGTTGTTGGAGCTTGATATTTTGTCATGTCAATAAATACAAAGTAGCGAATAACATATAAGAATTTGTAATAGGAAGTGTACATAAATTTAACGTTAATTCTTATTTGTTTGAATTTTATTTTACAAACAGTGAGAAAATATCAAGTATCTTTGAAAATAATGTGTCAGTCAATTAGTTTGACCACTCCCGTGATTATAAGAAAAAAATAGAACTGAATGATTCATGTCGGAAACGAAACCGGCAAAAATTACAACACTGCATTCAACAAGTAATTGTACAGTCATGCCGGTGTTATATTACTGAGATAATTGTCATACCCGTCATGTTTGTCGATCTGTATACATACACTCCCCGTAGGCACAGTCTAAAACGCGGACGCCTTAAGAGGAGAATATAAACATATAGGGTTAACGCGGGCAATATCTAAGAGGAAAAAAACGGGCGGTTTAAATGATTTAGCATAGTTAAAGTTATAGAGGTGGTGTATAACTGACTTTTAAAAAAGCAATATTTGAATGATATATAAGTCAAACAGTATTATTATGTAGATACACATATGTTTGAATGATAATAGACCTTTTTACAATGCGATTTTTCCATAGTAACGGATGTTGCACTTCGCGCATGCGCATATTACGTATGACAAAAGCGCAATAACGATGACTACAAGTCATCACATATAAAAGCTTTAATAGACGCGTTTTTAAGTTATGCACACAGGAAACAGTAATTTTGGGATGACTTAAAGCAGTAAGTGCTTAACGGAAATTGTATCTAGAACAGATATACAAAACTATGATCGATTGACTAATAATTCAATAAAAAAAGCGCATGAGTGCAAAAGTCATCTTTTCATAATATCATCAGACGATGTTTTCCATCTGAAATTTAAAATGAAACAACAGGGTGTTAAAGATTAACTTTTACTACCCCTGTATCACATAATATTACACAATTTGCATTGTACACTTCCATCGGCAAGGCGGTGTCATACAGATTGACACGTGACAATATCATTCAACATGGACGTTTTAGTACCATGATATAGTTAATCACGTAAAATTGTGAAAATTGTTATTTAAGTAACTTTAACATGTACCAATCTCATTGATGTTTATTGACTTTGTGAAGTGACAAATAGTGTGACGTGCATTTATACATGTGTTACGAGGAACCTGATGATAAAAGTGTGTTATTTTACTAGCCACTACCCATCTTGGTTTCTAAATATTTTGAAAAATTATGTGAATGTATTAAACTGGATTAAAAGATTTTCATATTGCCATCAATCGGATAAAGGATAAAATCAGGTAAACTGAAAACGTAACCAATGCATTATCACGTGTTCTTATTTCTTCAGAATGATAATTAACCCCGAAATTTCATAAATTATTAAAATGTCTTTGGTTTCCGCGTGAACTATTTCAATAACAGTTTAAATTGACCTCTTTATTGGCTTATAGATGTATTTCCACATTTTCTTAAAAGCAATGTTCATGGACATGTCAATGTCAGGTGGAAATTGTTAAACAATCGTTCTCCACAAACTTGGCCACAAAGCTATAAAGGCATTTTTTAAGTTTTTGTTAAAAGCTATTTCATATAATTTTATACTTTTACCTTAAACTTACTCGGAATTGTCAATAAACTTCTACTATACTTTCTATGTATGGCGATGCTCTTTTTGCCCTACACAGATTGTGCATGAGCGAGAAAATACTACTTTCGATCGATTTTTCCTAGCAACGGACTGCAGCGTAAAAAGGTTTATATATAATATATTTTTGCTGTTGTTATTCAGAAAAAAATGCGGACAAAATAGATATAAAAGTGTAGAATGGCATGCAATTTAGCTTGTATTGATACATTTATAGTTAAAAAAACTTAAGAATTCTTTAAATGTATAATTTAGGCCCTTTTCTATGGACAAAATATGAAGAAAAAGGCGATAAGGAAATAAAAATAAAACCGAACAATTAACAGACTGAATTCAAGTATGTTTCAATAGTTTTTATTGATATTCTAAAGTCAGCATTTTCACTATATATCTATATTGTCAACAATACAAAACTAGAGAGAAAAAACAGAACAAACCTTTACATTTTTATTCTACATAAGTGTACAACGTTTTACTCTGATCAATTCCTAACTCTAGACTGGATTTTCAAACCAGTTAATATATGCCAGTAAATATATGCCAACTACCCACATAAAAATGTCAACAAATTGTGTCACAAAATGAGTTATAATGAGTTATGAATAGGAACTATACAATCGTATCCGACATTTGACTAGAATATCTGAGGCTGATTCGCATATTGTCAATCATGTCATGTTCAATGTTCCCATTTTGAAATAAAAACATGTATCTGCTCAAAACTGTGTTCGTCATTTATTTGAATTATATAAGATATATACATGAGTAATTAAACTTAAAGTGACAATACAACACACCCTTTCTTTCTTAGAAAAAAAGGTTTTTAAAAAGAATACTATTGAATATTGTAATTTGAATTATATAAAATATATACATTACTAATTAACCTTAAAGTGACAATACAACACACCCTTTCTTTCTTAGAAAAATAAGGTATTTAAAAAAAGACTATTGAATATTGAACCTTTTAAAGCTCTTTTTAACACTGTAACAAATTTAAGAAAATTTCAAAAATCACATAACATCTATTTTTGCTCTAAGGTCAGAACGTTATGTAACGATCGTTTTCTTTTTTTTTAAAGTCCTGGAGTCTTTATTACCGGAAACATCGGCTTGACCGCTTCGATAAACATCTTCCATCTGTCATTTTTAAAAAGTTTTCGTTGTGCTTGGAACTTGGAAATGATACATACAGGTAATTTTTCTTTGAAAATGTATACAAATAAACGATTTTGTAATGTTTTAGATAAGCAAAAGAGTTATAATTATTAAATTTTAAGATAAATCTTTATGCAAAAAGATACTTTATTTGAATCGACTGAGAAATAAACATTCGAAATTAAATCAGTTAAATGTACGCTTTATTCAACAAAAATAATTTCCTAGAAGTCCTAGAAAGTTACTTAAGTTAAAAATAAAGCTTTATAGGTTTTCATTAAATGTCAATTTTCCTCCATTTCTTAATAAAAAAAGGAAAAAAGAAAGTTACTTTATAAGTTAAACATCAAACAAATAAGTAAACAATGTACAAAGAGAAAAACATTTTTGGAATATTAATTAGAAAAACTTTAAGGTATTAGATTTAACAAAATTGTATGAATGATAAAGGGAGACAAATATAAATATTTAACACAAGAAAAAGTAAGAAGATGGTAATAAAGTAAAAGAAAATCGATCAATTGTCAAATTGTCAAAGTTTTATGTTTGTGCATTCAAATCACCTACTGTGCGAATGCACATACTGAAATACTGACAAGGGGCATCAATGATGACATGTGTCGCCTCATGATAATTAATCGCAGAGACTATGTAGCAGGAGTCCGAAAAATCATTAACAGGGCAAAACACTTTTTATTCAAGGGCAATAACTCAGCTGAAAATCTTTCAATCGAAAAACTGTATTATGCCTACCAATCAATACTGTAAAGTTTCATTGAAATTGCAATAATGGTAAAAGAGGAGTAGTCCTGACACCCTTTATTAACACCCTTTTCATTCAAGGGCCATAACTGGGCAAAAAATCATTCAAGCGGAAAACCCGTGTAATATGTGCAAGAACTTGACCTACCAATCAATCCTGTAATGTTTCACTTAAATTGCATAAGTGGTATAAGAGGAGTAGACCGGACAATTTTTTTAAAAAATAAAATATTGTTAAAGGGCCATAACTCAAACAAAATTCATTGAACCATTAAAAGCCGATGATATACACAACTTAACTTGTTACTTATCATTCCTGTAAAGCTTGGATGAAATTGCACCAGTAGCTTTTGAGAAGTAGTCCGGACAAGCTTTAATGTAAATGGCAACACACAAGAATCAAAGCACAGAAGGTGCTGAATTTGTTTGGGTCTCAGAATGTAAGAAAGGTGCAGGTTGTGAGATTATATGTATAGTGCCACCAATGCTTTCCAGCGTTTTAATTGTAGTAAATTGGCTATAAGACTAATTGCAACACTGATATTCAATCCAATGTTTATTTGACTTTAACAATTTGAAAAAAAATGAGTTACCTTTACTGGGATTTGAACTCCAGACCTCTCGCTTCCTAAGCGAGCCCGAAAACCCTTCAGCCACGGTGAATTTATATGTGAACGGGCTGAAGAAAACCATATTATTCTAAATTAGGGCTTGTAACGACTTTAACTGTTGTTTAACACAGATGTAAATAATCCTGGAGCTTACTATAAGCATTTATATTTATAAAAAATCAAAGTGCTGCAAGTTCTGTGGTATTTTCTGATCTTTGCAATCTAAATCGTACTGTATATCTGTATGCATTTTCCTTTTTAGGTTTATTTTTATGTATTATAATTCATTTTGCAAGGCACCAGAGTTTGATACATACGGAATTCTGCATAACTAGAGTTGCATCAAAAAATAATTTATGTTCATTTTTTACGACAGTCACACTTTATCCTTGCATATCATGGCTACTTCCTTAACAAAAACACTTAAAAAAGAATTTATCAGAAAAAAAATTTTCCTCGATTGGGTTTCGAACTCGAGACCTCTCACTCCCTAAGCGAGCGCGTTACCACTGTACCACGGAGAAGTTATACATGAAAAGTCTGAATAATATCAAGTCATTCTAAATTGAGAATTTCCATTGCATTTCGGGTTTGTAATCCTTATTAATTTCGAGGTATTTTGTTCAGGGTAATCCTGTTGTTTAAAATTGAAGTAAATATTTTAGTGAAAATCCTCTCGCCCAAACAGTCCGACATGTAGAATCTATATATTCCACTACTCGGTTTGTGTATTATTCGGTTATAAATAGTATTTTCATTGATAAAATCATATTCATCCGCGTAATTTGTGATTGTGCATTTCTTGACAATTCTATAAGCCAACGCTATTGTTTAATTTTAAATGCGTTGTAATTTGTTGGATACTTGTAACAAAATAGAATATTTCTTTCTTTTAAATCGCTAGTTTTAAGCTGTTTTGAGAACTACTTGTTGTTAGGTTTGTTGTAAACTTCTGTGTCAGAGATTGAATGTCCGCTTTGTATTTAGTTATTTTCGATCAGAAAATACAATAAAACAATATTAGAAACCTTCGACCATTCGGGAATTACTTTGCTTGAAAATTGATGCGCCTGTCTTTGACCATCTTTACGCAGTGATCTCCCCTGAATTTTTCGGCTTTAGTGTACATACAAAAGGGAAGTAACCGCTTCAAAAAAGTGGACTACTTTCGGCATTTGCAAATAAGAACATTATACTCTGAAATTTCGCTACCATTATTTGTTTGGTCTGACGACCCAAACAAATAAAAACCACCTTTTTATTAAAGGGCCATAACTCGGCCAAAAATCATTCAACCAAAAAATGCGTACTAGATGCACAAGGACTTGAGTCACAGATCAATCCTGTAAAGTTAATTAAAATTGCTTTCAAATCGGAGGAGTAATCCGGACAAACTTTAAAAATAAAAGTTATTAAAGGGCTATAACTCGGACAGAAATCATTGAACCGGAAAATGCTGACGATATGCACAACAAGACTTGGTACTGACCATTCCTGTAAAGCTTGGATGTAATTGCACCAGTAGTTCATGAGAAGTAGTCCGGACAAGTTTTATGACGGACAGACGGACAGACAGATTGACAGAGAGACGACAGAGAAGTGATCCCTATATGTCGCCACTACTCCGTAGAGGCGACACAAAAAATACATATCGATGTACGTCTATAAATTATGAAATAAAGCACTTAGGGTTAGAGTTGATATCATATCAATGCTAATATTTATCAGAAAAGGAACTGACAAAATATGTCAATTTTTACTTCATGAATTTTGAAGTTTACTTCATGGGATAGCTCAATCATCCGAGTAAAGGTATACAAAAGCAAAATTGAACAAATGGTTCATACACAAATGCTGCATTTTTTAAGAAACCTGGAAAAATGATTGTGAAGGATTCGAATTTGCTAATTCACGAATGCTATGCCATTGTACTTACCAATAAGCCATCGGGGAATATTAATGGATTTAAGTATCACGAGCTTTACTTTCATAAAAATCAATGGGTAAATCGTGATAAATTACGGAAACTAACGAAAAAGCTCCCGAAAGTTCATCAGTCTTAGGTCAAAACAATAATAGTAATTGTAAAACATATATGGAACAATCACTCAGACATATATACCTAACTATCTGTGGTGACTGATTTGTTCCATTCATGTTTACGCCGCGATCCCGCCAAGCGAAAAGTGAGAAATAAGAAGTTAAAATGGCACGGTCGCGGAGCGAGATTTAAGAAATAAAACGGCGGGGCGCGGAGCTAACTAACTGCACAGACACTTGGGGTGTGGAGCTTAAAACGCCTTTAAAATCCAAATAAAATGTATAATTGTCAATCCCTGCACATGTACTGATCATATATATTAAAAAACTTAATATGAGCCGTTTTGAAAAAAAAAACATATTTCAACGTCTATAATAATACACAAGATAAAAATATATAACTGTCGCCCAGCGCCCATGCCATTTATCTTCTCAGTTCTTGACTTTTCGCTTGGCGGATTGCGGGGCGAAAAAATGCTAACTTACTGGGCGGGGCGAAGTTTTATTTATTTATTAAACTTTGCCCGACGGCCCGCTAATCAGAGTGTTTTCGCTCCGCGCCTTCGCCGTTTTATTTCTTAAATCTCGCTCCGCGCCCCGCTTGACTTTTCACTTGGTGGGATCGCCGGGCGAAATTAACGGGGGCCCGGGGTGCCGTTTTATTTATTAAACTCCCCCCGCGCCCTCGCTTATAAGCTTGTTTTCGCTCCGCGCCCCCGCCATTTTAACTTGTTAATTCTCAACTTTTCGCTTGGCGGAATCGCGGGGCGAAAACACGAACGCACAAATCAGCCACCATACCTATCTATATATAAAAGTACATTTATGCGTCGTGAACAGCGAAACAGGAAGTAAATACTAACAAGACGCATTTTAAGTACACAAGTACCGTTGCGCAAAACAGTTGCTCCTCCGTGCCTAACCAAATTATATTAACAGAAATGCACAACATATACAAGTAAATAAACCTAAACTATATGTATTAAAAATTTCATTGATACTTTAAAGCCACAAGTTATAAAAACAACTTGATATATTTTCAATTGGTAAGTTTCATTTAGAGTGAAAAAGTGTTTGTTTCCAAACATTTGACTAAGAAACTAAAATATTTGCATATGAAGATTAAGCTACAAATGACAGAGTGACGATCAGTTTATAAATAGCAGAAAATGTTTTTTAGTAAAAGCTAAATATACCATCTGCATACAGTGCAAGTAGGGTTATGAATTTATTTATTTGAGATTAAGCAACAATGCATGATTGTTTTTATTTGTTTGGGTCGTCAGACCAAACAAATAATGGTCCCTGATGTTGTTATTTGCAAATGCCAAAGGTAGTCCAAACTCCTCGAAGCGGTTACTTTCCTTCATATGTACATTAACGCTGGAAAATTAAGGGGAGATCACTGCGTCAAATGACAGGCGCATTAATTTTCTTAACGAAAAAATAGTTCCCGATTGGACGAAGATTTCTAATATTGTGTTATTCTTATAGATATACATGTACATGCTTATTTTCAGCTCCAAGATTATTTACTTCAGTGTTAAACAACAGGTTTATCGTGAACAAAATATATCGAAATTAATAACGGTTACGAACTCTAATTTAGAATGATAAGGTATTCTTCACGCTGTTATCTTATATCTTCGTGGTCGAAGGGTTTACGCTCTCGAGCGAGAGATCTGGAGTTCAAATCCCAGTTCAGGCAACTTTTTTAAGCCAAATAAACAATGATTTGAATATCAGTGCAGTGTTGCAATTAGTCTTATAGCCAATTAACTATAGTTACAACTCTGGGAACAGCATTGGTGACACTATACAAACAAATTGGTTTATAATCTCACAACCTTCACCTTTCTGACATTCGCAGACCCAAACAAATTCAGCGCCTTCTGCTTTGATTGTTGACTGTTAGCAGTATAAGGACATTTTGTTTTTCTAACAGTTAATCACGAGAGGGGCACAGCACAGCGTGAATGCAATCAACAGTGCAAATGTAACATACAGTAATAATACACTTGGGTTTTTGGAAAACCGATGTGGAAGTTATTTCTTATAAAAATCAAAGTTGAAAAATTTGCACAAATTGCTTTTTTCGTAATTTCAATTATAGTTCCAATCAAATGATTCACTTTTAAATGCTTTGGGCAAAAATTATGTTTTTATCTATTATCAAAATAACGTATCAAAGGACTTGAAGATGTTATATATTAACAAAAATATGTGAATTGCTTCTGCATATACATGTAGTTTTTTTTATAACTAGCATGTCAGTGTAAAGTTAAGCCATAAGTAAAGTAGTAAAAAACGAGTTTTAATCCTTATTGTTAAATACACATGTAATAATGTATATAAAAAACTATTGATTTCATTTTTCTCTAGAAATATAAACCTCCCTTGTATAAAAACGAGCGCGATCCTGTTAAAAAATATGTTTTACATTTGAGTAGTAATAATGGTAAAGTAGTGATGCAGGCACGCATAGTGAAAACTGATAATGAAAAAGGTATTCAACACAGTTATATATTAATTCAAATCTTATTTAACAGGGCTTGAAGTAAATAAATTCGACTAAATTTACAAAATTTAAAATTTTCATAAAAGAATAAAAGGAAAAAATAAGGAATAGCGAAATATAATAATAGAAAGATTAAGGTAAATAATTGAACACATGGTTATAAAATGGAAGTATATTTATCCCAAATACACAATTATCCAAGTAAGATTCATTTGTATCTGTTATGAAAACACTCCATCCAACGTAAGTATTGTGTAGGAAGGGAAGTACCTATAATCGTTTCAATGGCCAATGTGTAACGTTTAGGAAACTGTTAACAGGACATCAGCAATAAAAACTTTTCAGAAAAGAATTGAAAATCATTTCTGAGGCATAATCGGCCTTTAAGAAGGACTGTAAGACTGTACAATATTAATTATCGGTTGATGGGTACAATGACTATGGTTTCACATGTAGTACATGTAGTTGAACATTTCGACATCATATCTTCATTATTAACATTATAGATATGTACAAGTAAAAATGGTTTCCTGCGGGGAACATTTTTAATGATATAAAGATATTTCATTTAACTATTTTCAACATTGTTGGGGGGGGGGGGGGCATAAATAAACGTTTGTATCAGGAATATAGTTAACAATAATCGATCAATATAAAAGAAGGTCTTTGGAAACTGGTGACCGTTGAAGACCGGAGAAGGCCGAAGATAAAACAATTATTTCTTTTTAAGAAAATGATTAAATAGACCTACCATTTTATGAATGATTCCGAGCAAAAAAAATAAAGTAAACACACAAGTTTACGCAGAAAATATCTCTATTTCTTATGGCAGATGCCACTACGAATATTTTAATTCTGTAGATTTTCAGTATTTGTAAAATTTGAGATAGATTTTAAAGAAACATTGACAATTTTCAAACACATCATTCAAGTTTTTCCACCCTAAACGGTAAAATAATTGTAGAAAATTAGAAATATCACGTAATAGTTTTTTGTTCTTAATTAGGTGTAATTCGGACTAATTCCCAGGAGGTAAATCCGTAACGTATTGACAAACGGTATTTAGCTAGGTTTTCGAAAGGTCAATTAACCAATCATGTACGGTTTACAGATCACATGCTCCTCCATGTACCGAAAACAGGTCACGTGCTCCTCCATGCCTCAAAAGTTAAACGCGTACCAATACCCTGCGGTCTCCAGACCGCAGAGAACAAGGAATCATCAACGTAAAACTTTTCTGTTCACAGAGACACCAACATAATTATCTTGAACAATATTTAAAGAAAGTTATTGTCTTCTTTTCCTCGCATATCTCTTTTCATCTATGAATTTTACAAATTTATCCATCTCTATCTCAGTTTTGAAGCTCTCATTTACAGCACTAATAACCGTATCGAGTGTATTTTCTTCGGGATTCTGTTTTGCCCATTTCATGAACATCTCGTGAATTTTATCCTGGGGTGAAGGAAAACGAGAATCTATTTCTACCTGTGATATTTGCACGCCTTCTAAACCCAACTGACGGCCTAAATGTCTCCAATTATTCCCAATTAATTGAGACAATTTACTAAAGTCTTTTTCTGACAACTGTATATCATTATCAATCTCTGTTAGCGGGATCCTACCTGTGTAAAATGATGTAAAATAACGAAAAGGTCCATGAGTTTATATAGGGTTTTATAATCTATTTTTTTCATCGATATAGGTGCAATTATAATACTATTATTTCTTTTCGTTTTCTTCTTTTCTTATGGTTTATATTGGCAAAATGAAAGTAAAGAAATTAGAAAACTTTGAATGGGGCATGTATATCCAAATATACATCTGAAGATTTAAACAGTCTTGGTCACTTGAGATCATATCAGGTTAAATCACTTTGACAAAAATAATCATGAAATGTTTCCATTGTTCTACACTTCATAAACGGATAGAGTCAATGTCATCGTAGGTATTGCGTATAGATTTGTATTGCTATATAGGAGCACATTTTTCTAGGAGCACATTTAACTTAAGTAAGACCGATGCGGTCCCATTTGTTCCACATGAGACAAATGGGACCTCAAATGTCTACCCCAAAAACTTATTTGTGTAACTAATGTGCTCCGATCAAGATCTTTAAGAAAACACATTTACCTCATGTTTTTAAGGTACAAGAAAGTACATTTGTCTTATGGTCACATATTTTCCCACGGCAGAATTTTTTTAGAATCGAGGTTCGCTGTTTAACCTCACGTCAAGTGTAATCATCAATAGTATTGCTACTGCTTTTTTATGAAATCTTAACCTTAAAACCTACAAATCGAACTATTAATTCTAATATATATTGTTCAAAGAAAATTGATTGGCTGAACTTGAAGACGTACACTGAAACATACGGAATCCTGTTCGCGATTGTACAATGGTGAAAGCTCGATGACACGATGGTACGATTATGAAAACGCGAATGAACGATGGTCAAAACACGATGGTACGAACGTGAAACAACGATTGTACGATGGTGAAACAACAATGCTACTATGGTGAAACAACGAATACACGATGATGAAAACTTGATGGTACAATGGTAAAAATACGATGCTACTATGGTGAAAATACGATGGTATGATGATGAAACTGCGATATTATTTTCATCATCGTGTCATTGCATCATCGTAATTTCACCATCGTGCCATCGTTGTTTCATCATTGGGCCGTCATTTTTTCATCATTGTACCATCGTACCATTGCGTTACCTTAAGCTGTTACGGGTGACAAAAAATGTAACTTATGTCCAAACGAATCACCTCAATCGGGTGTTACTTAAACGATCTGTGGATGTTTCTTAATTCAAACTTTAACCATTTTCATGTTGAAATGCTGAATTTTTCTTGGGCTTAGGGGATGTTGAAGGTAGTTTGCACTTGACTCAATCAATGTTGCCGTATTGCACTATCTTAATTAAGGGATTGCTATTTTCCTTATTTCATCGTTTCGCGTCTCGCCGGAATTTCGCGTCTTGCTTCGCATCTTGAACGTCAAAAAAAATCCTTCGAGGCCATATAACGATAAATAGAATTCTCTTTATATTCTATGTAAAAATGACAAAAACATAGCTAGATCCATGTAAGAAAAAAAATACTAATCTCATTTTAAAGAGTTATGACCAAACTGATATAAAATGATGAGAAAAGTGGGGGTCATGTATCTTCTAAGAAAACTTTCTAGCGTCACATTTGTTACTGTAAAGTCATTAAAAAAATCTGCTATGACGTGGAAGAACCACCAATATTAAAATTGAGATTTTATTTCCCTTAAATACAAACTTTGCTCGTTTTTTTTGACCAAATTTTAAAACATACCATGATGAAATTTTAAAAAAACAAATCAGTTTTAAATTAGGGTCTCCCAGGGCCATGCTGATGGAAAAATAGTGTCAAAAAACCCTGTCCGCCCTTTAAAAGGGGACAATGCCAGATGACTCCCGCACTGGTTTCTGTACCATAGTCAGGCCTTTGAGGAACACCATAAAGGGGGCACAAATTTTTTAAACCGAGAAAAACAAAAAAAAGCAAAATTTCGTAAAAAACATGAAGCAAAGGAAAGGGAATTCATCGTGAAATCTCGGGGTAGGGGAAATATTTTCGACTTTTGCGAAGACCCTTCTTTGTTACAATATCGTCCTCGCTAGTAGTAAAAGAGTATGAAGGTTTGGGACACTTTGAAGCCAAAAAAAGTTTTTATCTATAAAACCCAAAGGGTAAAAAACAGCTGACATAGCTACCTACCCAACCCAAAAAGAAAAAGCAGCTCGACAAAAAAACCCTTTTTAAATTGATTTAAAAAACACCCTCGGGGCCAAAATCCCCCCAAAACCACATACTCTAAAACTATTAAAAATAAAAATCCCAGGGGGGAAACCCGGACGAGCCCCTTTTTTAAATTAAAAAAAAATATAAATGATTTTAAACAAAAAAAAAATATTTTTGGTTTAAAAGAACAAAACAAAACCGTTTAATGTAAATCCTGAATATGTTACAAAAAAAAAGGAAGATTAATGTTTAAAAGCCCGTGTGCTTCATGGGTAAATTGAAATCTAATTTTTGAAAAACAAGGGGGTTTCAATAGATTTCTTTAAAGCTATGTTCCTTTTTTTACCAAAAAAAGGTTTAACTTTTCCCCCTGGATATAACTATTGCGGCCAGGTAACCCACGGGTTAAAAGGGAAATCACCCTTTAAAATTCAGTTAGATAAAATATGTATGAATCATGATTTATTTTAAAAAATAGGGGTCTAAGAAAAAGTGAGTTTTAAATTAAAAAATTTTAAATCTGTTTTTAAAGACAACTAAATAAAATCTATTGGTGAAAAACTGAAAAAAATTTATTAGTAAAGCCTGTTATAAATAGAAAAAAAAATTTTGGTTTTGGGGCAAACAAAAAATTAAAAAAACGGAAGAAGGGGGAAAAGCATGAAAAGGGGAAACAGGGCATTTAAACCCCCAAAGGGTAACATGGAACGTTAAATTAGCCAATGAATTAAAACAAAACCAATCAAAACGGAAGTTTTAAAAAAACGGAGATTTTAAAAGGAAAATTTAGTAAAATTGATATTTTGGTCTGCTGTTTATTTTGATATGCAAGCCTTTTCAAAAAAGATAAAAAAAGGAAAAAATATTTATTAACATTTTTTTTGATTTTTTAGAAAAGTATCCCTTGGGCTTTTCCCGATAAAAAATAAAAACTGGTGATTCTTTTTCAGAGGCTTTAATGAAAAATTTTCTGGTGGCAGAAAACCAGAGAATTTTTGGGTTGATAAAGGGAAAAAGGGAAAATTTTTTAATAAAACTTTTCAATCATTTTTTAGAAAAAAAAATACAATAAACATGAAACCAAAACCTTAAAAATGAAGGCAAAAGCTGGGGTTTAAATCGAACTTTTTCAATAGACCCCTGAAGGAAAAATTTGTGGAAATATTTTCACCTCTAAAAATATTTATATTATTTAAATGATTTCCCCAAAAATGTTGGGAGAAATAAAACAACACAAGGAACATAGTAGTATAAAAATGTAAACCTAAAAAAGGCGGGGAAAACATTTTAAAATAAAGGTAAGTTTTTTTTTAATTTTAAATAGGGGTTTTTAAAAGTATAAAAAAGTAAGGCAAAATTTTAAGTTTAAAAAGACGTGTTTTTTTAAGTAAAATTAAGAGACATTTTAAAAAAGGGATAAAACCCCAAAATTTGGACAGAAAAAAATATTTAAAATTGAGGGAAATTTTCAAAATACAAACCCAAGAACTTATCTATCAGGGATTTAAATAATGAGCTGGTCCAGGGTTCATTTTATGAAAAAGAACGGGATGCCCCCTAAACAAGAATTTTTTAAAAATAGAAAAATTTAAAAAGCGTGACTAAAAGAAAAAACAAGCACTATTTAAAAAGGGAAAAGGTTATTCTGAAAAATTTCAATAGTTGGAAAAAAGATCCCAAAAAATAAAATGCTAAAAATAATAAAAATGAGTAAACCCAAATTTGGGAAAATCTTGATAAAACTAAAAAGTTTATTTAACAAGATTGCATCAGATATAGAAAAAGTTATAAATTTTGTGGAAGGGAAAGCGTGGGAAACTTCAAAAAAACAGCAGGTTTTTAAAAGGTTTGTTCAACTGAAATTTGGGCACTTATTCCCCCCATACCTATATTTGTAGCTTTAGTAGGAGCTTTCCCTTCAGAAAGTTAATAAAAATTAGCTAAAAAACTAAAAAAGTTGAAAGACAAAAAAACAAATTTTAAAAATTAAACTTTATCAAAAAGGGTTAAAAAATTTAAATTCCTGAAGCGGGGAATTGGGGAAAGGTAACCCCCCAAAAAAGTTATGATGGACAGAAAGTTATCAAAGATATTTTTAACAAAACTTTTTAGAAATAGAAAAAGATAAAAATTATAAAAACCCCTTTTAAAATTTTTATATGAAAAAAATATAAGCTAAATGGTTATAAAGAACCTTTTTAAAATATTTTTTATAGCTAGTGGGGTTTAGCTTGCGTTAGCTTGGTTTTTAAAAATGTGAATTTTTTTTCTTTAAGAAAGGGTTTAAAATAATGAATAGATTAAATAACAGAAATGGGGGCAAAAGGGCAAATTTTTTTTGGAAATTTTATATAAAAAAATCAGAAACTCTTAAAATTCCAATATTATTTAAAAAAGTTAGAAAGAATAGAAACTTTTTTAAGGGGCCAAATATTCAAAAATTAAACTAAAAAAAAAAAGTAAAAGAAAATATACGTTTTAAAAATTAAAACAATTATAGAGCCTTACCTTTTTAAAAAAAACAAAAAAATTTATGAAGGGAAATTTTCCCGGGTTGTTTTTTTCCCCGAAAGAAAAAATTTAGTGATATTTTATGCGATTGTCCAAAACCTAATATAAAAATTTATCGTAAAAACCCCTTAAACCCCGGGGTTATGAAACTTATTACCCCCAAAAGGGAGATGGTGAAAAATTCCCATATTACCCCTTAAATTTATCCCGCTCTAAAGATTTTGGTGTAAAATGGGGGTTTTTAATAAATGTGCTGTAAAATTTAAACAGGGGTAAAGCCCGGGGAAAGAAAAATTTAAATGGGCAAAATTTTTTAAATAAAGTTT